CATAAATCATTTCAATTAACTAACTTTTGAATCATAACTAATTAACATTTAGAAACATTAATATATTACATTTCACTAAAGTTCACTAAATTAACTAACGTTCAATTGTTATTATTAATTAACTAAAACCAATTAATAAGTTAATTGCGTAAATCATTTAAATTATTACCTAATTCAAAATATTTAGGAACATTAATATATTAAATTTCAGTAACACTAAAATTAACTAACGTTCAATTAATATTATTAATAATTAACTAAATTAAAAGCAAAATGTTAATGGCATTAATCATTTAAATTATTAACTAATTCACAATATTAGGATTTTAACATTGATATACACTACATTATTACGTTAATGGCATTACTTCACAATACTAAAATTATGAAAATCTAATATTACACAATAAATAATTAACTAACATGTAAATGAATGAAATTGAAATAATTCACATTTAAATCCATTTCAATCAACTTATATTTAAATTTATCGAATATTATCAATTCAAATCCTAAATTAACGATGTTACCTAATAATATTATCAATTCAAACCCATTTCAATTAATTAATATTTCAATTTAACTAATATTGTCACGAAACTAAAGTTCACTAATTTAACTTTGTTAATTTACATTTAACTAATATTGTTAACTTTTTATCAATTCACAATAATAATTCACACTAAATTAATGTTTCAATCCTAACTTAAGTTACTATAAATCCTAAATTATAATTGCTAATAAACAAACCTAATAATTTTATAATCCATTTTCAATTAACTAATATTTTAATTTAACTAAATTACATTTATAGTTAAATATATTGTTAATAAATTAACAACCTCACTAATTTAACAATTTTAATTATTTAAAATGAAAAAATTGATACTTATTAAAAAAATACATAATTCAAAATGACATACCTTATCTGTATAAACAGGGAAAATGATAAACTGATAAATTATATTCTCCACTCTTTCAACAAATATTGTATTGTACTCTGACTGAATTTTAACTGGTATCACTCGAATAAAAATGCATTGCCATATACAAAACAATTTGTCACGGAAAAATCCGTGACAAATACCTTTCCGTACACCATTAATAAAGTGACCAGTGGAAAATTAATTGTTAGGGTTTGTCACGGACTTTGTCACGGACGGATCCGTGACAAATATTTTTTGAACTTTGTCACGGATTTGTCACGGATCCGTCCATGACAAAGTGCTCGGAAGTAAATAAATTTTGGCCGGAGTAAATTGTCGGGCACCGGATGCTGTTAGTCACGGATTATATCCGTGACAAACAATTGTCACGAATTTTGTCACGGATTTTTCTGTGACAAACCTTGTTCGTGACAAATCGAGCATTTCCGTGACAAAGCCTGTGAGAACTTTGTCACGGCCCAGATCCGTGACAAAGTTCCATGACAAACGAGCTGTTTTTTTTGTAGTGTTCAATAAGATAGGCGAAATGCGGGTGGAGGCACAACAATTTTTGGGGAACAATCCCTTGGAAATGTGATCATAACACCACGATGGGGGGTACAGATACAGTACCACAACTTCAAATATGGCTGAGGTTTTCAACAGTGTGATGAAAAGTGCCCGATATTTGCCAATAACAGCTTTGGTTCAAATTTCCTTTTACCGTGTCAATGCATATTTTGTGGATAGACGTGAAAGTAGTAAACGAAGAGTGACAGAAGGCCACGAGTACTCCACATACATAACAAATATCATTGCAAGAATAAGGACAAGATGAAACACCATACTGTCACTGCATTTGATATAGACCGAGAGCTATACCAAGTGGAAACGGGATTTGGCGGCCGAACACTGGGAAAAGGTGGGAAAAAGCAAACTGTTAATTTGCAGAAGCGTACTTGTACTTGTAAGAAGGTGGAAATATATAAGATTTCTTGCTCCCATGTATTAGCTGTGCGTAGACAATGTAGTTTGTCTTACCATACTTTTGTGGATCCTTTTTTCTCAGCTTCCCAATACGCCGCTTCATATCAAAGAGTTTTTAAACTCATTCCCGACCGTGCTTATTGGCCACCTTACCATGGATCACGAATTGTGCACGACACATCCATGATTCGTTCAAAGGGATGACCAAAGTCCACACAAATTAATGAGATGGATGAAGGTGGCAGAGGAACCGTAAGATGCGGAATATGTAAACAAACCGGTCATAATAGGGCCACATGTGCAAAGAGATCTTCAGGAGATGGTGGGGAATCCACTGCGTAAGTATTTAATTATTCAAATCCGCAACTCATAGTAATGTGAATTATAAAATAATGATCTAAAATTATTAATTAATTACTGACTAACACACCCTTTCATTTTTTGTAGGCACTATGGAGGTGTCAGCGGATCCAAGGCCGATTGATGACAAGTCCATGACCAAGACGATCAAGAAGACAATGAAAAGTTGTAGTCTCTCTATTATTGGACTTACTCATGTACACAAAATTTTGTAGAAACACTTCACTTTTTTACGTATTTTCACCTACAAACTAATGGATATTGTGTTATTAGTACTTTTTCATTTGTTTATGATGTATTGATGTGTTTGGTTATGCATATCGGATGTCTATACGTTGTTTTCATATTGTGTTTCTAAGCAGGGATGTCGCTTTGTGTCATTTTTACCAAATTGTGTTTTGTATGTGTTCTGTAAGTCGTCAAATGGTGAATTGCGATAATCGGGATCGATTTAGGATGAAAAACGTAAATTTTCGCCACCGGAGGCGCCCGACCGGCCTCGGTTGGCCCCAGACCGGCTCCGGTTTGAAAACAGAACGTTTGGGTGTTAATGTTTTTGGGTAGGGGTGGGCATAAAACCCGAATCGAACCGGTACCGAACCGTCCCGTAATGGTACCGAACCGAATACCGGGTATCTAAACGGTTCTATAGATTTTTATCCCGTGCCGAAACCGTACCGTTTGGAACGGGTACGGGACCGGTCCTAGATTTTGAGAACCGAAAAATACCGGACCGATCCGTTCGTAAATAATGCATTTGAATTTTTTATATTTTTTCTATATCAATAGATCTAGACCAACAATTTTATACCCCAAGTATGTATTCATGTGTCCCTAAGATATCTAAAATGTGTTGTTATATATATATATATATATATATATATATATATATATATATATATATATATATATATATAATTGTTGGTCTAGATAATTTATTGCTAGTTTTTCTTTTTAGATAATTTATGTTATATTTTGGTATGTATTGAAAGAATATTAAAATTTTAGAAATGATTAATGATTATTTATTTCTAGTAATGTAGTGTACATGACTTTTTGTTGTATCATGTTTGTGCATTTTTTACAACTTAATTAATATGGTTTAAATCTTAGCTCTGAAGGTTCAATTATAAATTAAATTAGAACTACAGAGTAATATTTAACCTAGAACGAAGAAGAAGAACGTTGAAGATTTCTATTATATTCAACAATTTGATGATATTCGTTTTTATATTTTCACATGAACTTAGTAAATTAAAAATGATACTCGTGCGTCATCGTTTTGCTATACTTTTTCTTAGTTGTGCTGCACTATTTGTGTATTTGTGAATTTGAGTACTAGGTGTGCAATTTCTTGTATTTATTTCAACATTTCATGTGAGTTAGTTGGTGTGATGATATCTACTAATTGAAAGATTTGTTCAAAAATTTTAGCATGTGTTTAGCATTGTACCGTACCGTTTTGTACCGTTCCGAAACGACATGGTACCGAACGGTTCTATCCTTGGAACCGTACCGTTAAAAATGTCACGGATACATTACGTGTTTTACCAATTTACCGGATTGTTCCGGACCGCGTCCACCCCTATTTTTGGGTAGGGGAAAGCCGTCATCCGGTTTGACAACTTTCTCCGATCAGAGTTAAGCACAACAGTATATCCGTAATAAGTTTTAACCCAAAACTATTTCCGTAATTATTTTTTTAATTGACATTAATCCGGAAAAAAACTCCGTAAACAAAATCATACACATTACAAAAGGCATTTAGGATGTTTTTACTTGGACGGTAATTCGTCCCAGACCAGACCAGACCAGATCAGGTCAGATCAGACCAGACCCGACCAGACCAGACCAATTCAGACCAGACCAGACTTGGATAGTTATAAAAATACAAAGAAACCAGACCAGACCAGACCAGACCAGACCAGATCAGACCAGATCAGATCAAATCAGACCCGACCAGACCAGACCAGACCAATAAATTACAGTCCAAGTAAAAACATCCTTAATGAGAAGTACAAATAAAAGTAGTCAAAAATGACCAACCTCGAGCCATGGGGGCAGGCAAGAAGGAGTGCCTATACCGTACGACCGGTATACGGTGAGCACCGTATACCGGTACGGATTTATATTTTTTTTCCTTTTGTTTTTTAAAAATGGTAATAACTTTTTTTTTATCTGATTTTTATAAAATTTATATCAACATTTTTTATTTTTCATGATCTTTGAAATGAGACCAATATTGCCTATGTAATTTTAACATATTAACATTTGCGTGTAAAATATGTAACTTTACGTGTTAAAATATGTAACTCACGTTCAGTCAGGCCAAATGCAACTCGTGTGTATAAATATGTATCTCTACGTGTAACAATATGTAACTTTACGTAAAAAAATATGTAACTCGCGTTCAGACAGGTCAAATGCAACTCGTGTGTATAAATATGTAACTCGCGTGTATAAATATGTAACTTTACGTGTATAAATATGTAAGTCGCGTTCAGGCATGTCAAATGCAACTCGTGTTTATATATATGTAACTCGTTTTTAAAAAGATATAACTTGCTTATAAAAAGATGTAACTTGCTTATAAAAAGATGTAACTCGCTAATAAAAAGATGTAACTCAATGTATTATCAAATGTAGTTGAGGTCACTGATCCACTCCCAAATAGATTCGATCTTCTATTTCACAAACCTATCATCTTCCAAACAGATTCGATTTTCCTTATAATCCAATACTCATTAATATAATAGTTCGATAATTCTTAAAATTACATAAGCAATATTGGTCTTATTTGAAAGATCATGAAAAATAAAAAATGTTAGATATAAATTTTATAAAAATCGGATCAAAAATAAAAAAGTTATTATCATTTTTTAACAACAAAAGCAAAAAAAAGGGGTAAGTTGCGTCGTTTTGCAACCTGGTGCACCATCCTCATGGTGCGCCGGTTGCACGGTACAATTTGACAGGGATTTGCGAAGCCTTGGGTGAAAATAGTTAATAAAGAGATAATCTAGGGGTAATAGGGAAGTAGGACATCGGAATGGGGGCACCATGTTTGGCCTTTTTTTCCTTCACTTTGCCTTCACTACTCTGCTTCTGCTTCCCCTTCTTCCTCTTCCCAACTTCTTCTCTTTCGCAGCCAACCCTTTGTGATTGTGAACTCCAAAGACATGAGAAGAAACCCATGATTGGATTGGTGATCTTCACTTGAATCACTTCTCTGTTTCGCCGGGAATGTATATTTTCTCTCTGAATCTCCTTTCTACTGAATTCTATCGGTACTTATATCAATCAGAAAAGTAAATGTTACGTAGCAGCCAAGTATAACAAAGTCGAGATTTTTGACCAAGTGAAGTCGTCAAGGTGAAACTTCTTGGAAATTTCTTCCAACGGTAAATACGGAGTACTGCGTCTCGGAATTATTTCTTACTTTCCTTTTCGACCTGTCCCAAATTTATCTTCTCTTTCCCTTTTTAGCAAAGAATTTATGGTTCACAATCATTCTTACACATTTCTCTTTCCTCTACACAACTCTGTATTGGACTCACAATTCTGCTATAGGTGATCATTCGTCGGAGATGCTACATACTATTCAGAAAGTGAAAACTCTATTTTACTGGAGTGGCATATTTAAGGATGTGCAACGATACACTAGATCTTGTGACATATGTCAAGGTGCAAGTATGATCAGTCAAGCTGTATTGGACTTTTGCAACCCTTACCTATCTTTAAAAGGTATGGTGTACCATATCCATGGATTTTATAGAAGGTCTCCTTAAATTCTTTGGAAAAAAGGTTATTTTGATGGTGGTAGATAGACTCAGCAAGTAGCTCATTTCAGACCTTTGTCACATCCTTTTTATGTTATTGATGTGGCTCAAGTATACATGGATCATGTGTATAAACTTCATGGCCAATCAGAGGCTAGTCAAATTCGCTATTCCCGCATCATGGTAGACTAATCTAACAACATCGTTGAACTTACTACTAAAATGGGAGATAACTAAACAAGAATTCTTTAAATAAAAACAACACCAGTCAATTATATGTCTCACCCAATGTAATCTTGAGTTATTGTATTGTTTGTTTCTTGTTCTCTCATTAATAATAATAATAATAATAATTAAGTGTTCTCTTTCAAAAAAAGAACGGAGGGATTACTCTATTAAAGTTAAATTCAAAAGAGTGACATTTTTATGTAACTTAAAAAGTAATAAAATTGAAAAATCATAATATCACTATCACTTTGTCTGTTGTAGTTTTTTATTATGTCAATGTTAGTGTCTGATAGTGTCATTGTTGGATTTGTTGCCATTTCAAAACACGTCATTGTTATTTTCGGGAATTTTTTTTCCATGACTTTTGTTTAGTGTTCTAAAACGCCCCAAAAGGCGCCGCATAGGCGGGCCTAGGCTTGGGGCGTCGATTAAAAGCCTCGCATAGCTGCTATGCGTGTTAGAAGGCGGTCAACTCTCATCTTGACCAAATAGGCAGGTAAATGAGCGCGCCTTTTACAACCAGATCGGTCGCAAGATAGGCTCAATGACATGCTACAATTCGTAGCTCCTCTTATGTATTTGTATAGGAGTGAATGAGGAGAATAAGTCTACATATCCGGTGTGGGATGCGCCGTTTCTAAATGTACTTTGGAACCCAACATTTTCTTGTTTATATTGAATTGATGTAAATGCAACTCTAGTCATTCCGGTGTGGGATGCTGTTTGAGTTTCCAGGAGGCTAGTAATCCCATTAGAAGAAATTTCACCTTAAGCAAACTAAATACTACGTACTTACTAATAATAATTGTTGTAAATTGTAGCAGCTTAGATGTTATTTTTCATGTTTACGACAATAATATCAATCCTTTGTTATTTTCTTTGTATAACTTTAAAAATAATCTTTCTCAACATTTTTAAAAATTATTACTACTGTCGTTCTTAAAGATGGCAAAAAGGGAAAAAATAAAAATATATCATTTTACAATTGCACTCTTATATATAAAAAATTATACTCCGTATATATATATATTGAATAAAGTAAAAATTAAGCTCAATAATATATTTTGGACAATTATCTTTTTCTTCATATCTTACAATAATATATGGAGTACTAATTATCAATAGAAATCTAAAATGCCTTTTCACGCCTAGGCTTCGCCTATTCCCGCCTAGGCTTCAAAGACTTAAAACTTCACTTCGACGCCTTGCCACGCCTCACGCCTTGTGAAATTAAAAAATAAAATAAAAAATCCAATGAAATTGCAGCATTGATAGAACTAGCATTGGGGCGGGAGCAAGGTCGGGTAGTTGGGTAGAAATTAAAAACTTAAAAACAAATCTGTATTCCGTTCACATTACTATGTTTTCATTTTTATATATATATTTCACCCAACAAATAAAAAAGATCGAAACAACTGTTAAAATTGAATTCGTCATCTTCTAACAAAATTGAGATTTTCTTGGAGTGACCAGGTGAAATTTCTTCGAAATTTCTTCCAACAATATCATATACTTCGTACGAATTAATATAGTTATTTCTTCCAGAGGTTTTGTTTAATTACGTAATTTTGTATTGAAAATGAGGATGTGAATTTAAATACACGCATTGAGAATAAACTTCATCTATTACTAGTGTTGTATGTTTGAGTTTTTGTCACTTTTGATTCTCCATTCATTATTGTGTCAATGACACTTTTGATACTCGATTTTTAAGTTTTTCATTTTTAGTCCTCAACTATTGTGCGAGAAATATTTGAGTCATCAAATTCAAAATTTTCCACATTTAGTATCCTGAGCACATTTAGTCCAACGATATATATGATTTTGACACATTAAGCGGAAGAATAAAAATGTTAATATTGTAATAGTTGAAGTACCAAAACTGCCATTATTATGAAAGTCGAAAGACTAAATATGTAATTTTTCAAAGATGGGTACCAAAAGTGTCTTTCGCATAATAGTCGAACGACCAAAAGTAAACAAATCAAAGTTGAGTATCAAAAGTGTTAGTGACATAATAGTCGGAGGACTAAGTATGTACAAAAAAAGTTAGAGTAGTTTTAGAAAAAAGTTGGAGATTTTTTGAGTTGGGTGTGATTTTCGATTTGCTACCGAAAGTCGCCAAGTGATTACTAGTTACTACCGAAACGTCGGAGTCACGGAGACTTATTGATTTATAAAAGAATTTATATTTAAAATATATTTTATTAATAAAATGAAGAAAAAAGTACATGAAAAATAACTAAAATGATCATCTACAGTAACTTCAGCCAAAACAGCCAGAAAAGTAACTCCATCCTTACTTTTTCTTATTATTACACAATTCAGCACACGAAATCAAAAGTTACGTGTTTGGTGAAAACGTTGGTAGATAAGCGTGATAAGCTGAAAAACAGGGTCACCAAATGGGCTCTAAAGTTATTGTACAATTGATTTGAAAGAATTTATGAAAGGTAACTATTTTAGCTATTTTCCGTATAATTCCTTTTTTATTTTGTTGATAAAGTGTATTTTAACTTTTTTCATAATTCAAGAGATTCAACCAATTCAATTGCTTAGGTAATTAAGTATTTCACAAATTTCAATAAAATTGAACTCATTCTCAGTGTTATCAAATAGGTTCTATTTTATTTATGGAAGCAATTCATTTCATTAGTGATGAAACGGTTAGCAACACAAGAGGAGGTGAATTGTGTGTGTGTATGGAACCGTGTCAGTTTTTCTCACAGTTCTAGTGTTGGGTTCATGGAAATGTGAAATATAGTAAAGTGCACAAGAATTTAACGAGGAAAAATCCCTTGGCTCAAAGGGATTAAAAAACCTCGACCCCCCTCGGAGGAATTTTAAACAACTTCACTAAAAAGCCTTTGTGGATACAAGATAAACTCTCCTAGTCTATCCTTGAGCCACCCCAACTCTATCCTCTCTAGGAAGAGTTATGCATCTCTACCTTGCGGGTAGAGAGCTTCTCAGCTTTACAACAAAGCTCTCACAACACACTTCACCAACTCGAGGATGCTACACTTAGCTTTTCCTCAAAACCCAATTACAATATGAAGAAAGGTAAAAGGAACTATATCTAGAACTCCGTGAGCAGGTTCAGATGCCTTGGACTTAGAAAATCTTTTCGTGTATATCTCTCAATAATAGCTCGGTCAAGCACACACTTCTTCTCTTGGTCTTCGGCATATATAAGTCACTTTGATATGTCCGTTGGTGTATCTCTTTCCTTGAGTAATTGAGCTTCCATACTTGGAATTTGCCTTGATAATTTTTGAATTACTTTCCTTCCAGTAACTCTCTTTCTTATTCGTTCTCAAACATGAGTAAATTGACTCATGATTCACGAATCATCATATAAGGAAATAATATTGATTTACTTAACATGTAGGCATGCAATGGACATTATGTAGCAATAAAATATTTATGCAATCATTGTCAAGTCAAGCTACTTTAATATCTTTACCAAAAATGCTTTTGGTCAACATTTGTAAATGACAAAATATCCACTTAGCATATGTAAGAAATGCTACGGTCAATTGATAATAAAGTAAGGGTTTTCTACGTGAGTGCCAAGGCATGCATGGTAGGATATTCACATTGAGTCACGTATATTTAGAGCATGCAAAATATCATATACAGAGCACTTTACGTATGAAGATAAGTCATTATTCATGCAATCATATTTCAATTTACGCAATCACAGAACTGAGAGTAGTTCTGTTTGTCGTTCTTATTAGAACTCGTACCAGTTCTACACCTTTCGTCACCTTCATGGTTAGTCATCTTCTATCCTTCATTCATGTATGGTTAGTCATCAACAAAATTAAATATTCAACAATTAGTAATGTGAATATACGTAGTTAATGTATAAAAATTTAAACATGATGAAATTTGTATTAGAAGTACGTGTATATGGTAATTGTTAGAAATATACTACATTCGTTCCGACTTAAGCTTTTCATTAAAAACGACATAAATATTTAGTTAATATATAAATAAGGTTATTCTGATGTGAGTTTTCTCGCACTTAAAATAGATTGTAGTCTGGGTAAAAGTACGAGTATCGTCTCCACAGAGACGGACAAAAGGGAATTAAGAATTAATTAAATTCAGCGATAAAACTAAATAAAAATAAATGCGATGTGCGATATTTGATTGATTGGGAAAATTAAAATGCGAATAAACGAATTAAACTAATGGGTTCTTTTTAATTAATGTCGATAGGGAATAGGGATTGATTCCGGGGTAATCAGATTTCTGGCTGATCAGGCTTAATTACATGAAATTAATTTAATTGAGCCTCGCTAATCATTACTAAGTTCTTACCGCTCTCCCGGCGTAGAGTACAATAATTTAGGGGACCGGGCTGATCTCTCATGCCACACGATCATAAAATTATTGCCAAAACGAGCGAGCGTACGACCCCTTAATCGTTACTAATCTCTTAGTGAACGATTAAGTGTGTGTGAAGGTGTCTTAAAATAAACTAGATCTCTCTTAATTTATTCTACAGGCAATTGTAATTCTAGTCGCGGTTCTAGGTTACAAGAGGTATCAGTTAAATCATTCAAACACAAATTAAATACATTCATATAATTAATCCATCATGAATTTAGCCATACATCATGATTAATCCCTTCATCAACCCCAAATCCCTAATTAAAACTACTCACAACTCAGAATTGAATGATCAACAGAATTGGAAGAATAGTATTAATTGTCATTAATTAAAAA